TCCTCCTCCTCCTCCTCCTCCTCCTCCTCCTCCTCCTCCTCCCTGGACCTCCTCCTCCTCCTCCTCCTCCTCCTCCTCCGCCTCCTCCGAGGTTCAGGGGTGGACACAACCCCCCCCTCTGACACGTCGATTAGTGAATTGTCCGTTTTCGGTTCTCGCGAGGGCGCCGCGGCCGTCATTTTCGAAGCTTGCGCCCGCCAGGTTTGGGCCCGAGGTCGTTTTCACTAAACCACGTTTTACTAAAGGGGGTTCTGTCCATCCCCGATTGGTCCACCCCCCACACTCGGGAAGAGAGGGCATGAGAAAGAAGAGCGAGGAGTGAGGAGGACTAGGGGAGGGTGGGGTTCACTTCGTTCGGGAGCTCCCACGCGAAGTGAACCCCACCCTCTCCCTCAGAAATCGTGGGGGTACGGGGTAGGCTTCGCATGTGGTCCCCTAAGGATGCGGACGAGGATTAAGTCGGTCGTGTCCCTCTACAGGAGGACTATCTAAACATAGTCAAACATACTCTGGGAACGGTTTGTCAGTTATGGTTTGACCATGTTGGGGCATGTTTTCGCAATTTTTTAGTGTTTCGTCCAGAACCCGCCTGTAGGGGGACATGCCCGACATAAAACGAGGAGTGAGGAGGATGCGGATGACGACGAGCGTCGCACAATGAACGCTTGCATCAACACTAGTTAGGCTTTCGGAGCTCCGAGCGGAGCTCAGGGGGTCCGCGCTGGATTTAAGTCGGGCTTGTCCCTCGACAGGAAGAATATTCAAACATAGTCAACCCATGCCCAGGGGACGAGTTTTCTATTATTGCTAGACCATGTTGGTGTATGCTTTGGCTATGTTTTATGTTTCGTCCAAAACCCGCCTGTAGGGGGACATGCCCGACCTAAAACGAGGAGTGAGGAGGATGCGGACGACGACGACGAGCGTCGCACAAGGAACGGTTGCATCATCACTAGTCAAGCGTACGGAGCTCCGAGTGGAGTTCAGGGAGTCCGCGCTGGATTTAGTCGGGCCTGGCCTTCCACACGAGAAATATGCAAAAAGAGTCAAACCATACTCCTAGCACGGTTTTTTTTAAGTGTTGTTTGACCATGCTGGGGGATGTTTTGAATCTTTTCATTGTTCATCCAAAACCCGCCTGTACGGGACATGCCCGACCTAAACTGAGGAGTGAGGAGGATGCGGACGACGACGAGCGTCGCACAATGACAGCTTGCATCAGTACTAGTTAGGCGTTCGGAGCTCCGAGCGGAGCTTAGGGGGTCCGCGCTGGATTTAAGTCGGGCCTGTCCCTCGACAGGAGGAATATTCAAAACTAGCCAACACATACTCTGGCGACGATTTTTCTAGTCTTGTTTGACACATGTGGTGCATGTGTTGGGTATGCTGTGTGTTTCGTCCAAAACCCGCCTGTAGGGGGACATGCCCGACCTAAAACGAGGAGTGAGGAGGATGCGGACGACGACGAGCGTCGCACAAGGAACGGTTGCATCGTCACTTGTCAAGCGTTCGGAGCTCCGAGTGAAGTTCAGGGAGACCGCGCTGGATTTAGTCGGGCCTGGCCCTCTACAGGAGGAATACGCAACCTTAGCCAAACCATATTCTGAGGGAACGAATTTTGTATTAGTTGTTTCAACCTTTTGGTGCATGCTTTTGAATAGTATTGTTTGACCATGCTGGAGTATGTTTTGGATATTGTTGTCGGTCCGTCCAAGACCCGCCTGTACGGGGACATGC